TGTAATGCAGGAATTATGTTAAAAGTCATTTTAGCACACTTACAACTCCAATTTATTCATCCAGACCTCGCTCCAGATACAGAACTAGAGACCTTGGTTGGTTTAATGAATTATTTTGATAAATACGGGTAGTGAGTGGCCTTACCTATTGAATAAAATTCACTGATTAATCATTGATTATCCGATTAAACGAATGTAGAATTTGGATAATCGGATAATTGGTGATTAATCGTTCAATAATAAATATTTCCACAAGATTTATTAATCCTTGTGAAAAATACTGGAAAGATTTTTATCTCTTTATTTTTAATTAGAGGTTGGCACCGCACAAAAATTCTTTAAACCTGTTAACTTTATTAATTGGTCAATTTTAATCACGGAAAGGAAATTCTAAAATCCGGTTGTTTGAATATAGCCGGTTTTTTTCTGGAACAAACTTCAAGCCCTGATTGTGATATAAAAAAATAAAGTTCTCAAGAAAAAAAATTAAAAAAAATAATGGAGACACTTTAAATGAAAATAAGAATACTTTTACTGGCAAAAATGAATATTCAAAGAAAAGAAAAGAATTGTCCAACATGCAATAAATATAATATTTATTTTGCATAGTGTCAATTATGTGACCCAATGCTATTAATTAAAGGATGTACTAATGGCAATGATACATTGAGTTGATTAAAAATGCACAACTTAAAGCAACTGAGTATTATAGTCGGTTTTATCTTTAATGGGTTCCTTATAATGATTTAATCAATATTGAAAAGATAGGTGAAGGTGGTTTTGTGACTATATACAAAGCTACTTGGTTAGGATATTATAAATATGTAAACTATTATGATAACAAAAGAATTAGTGAAGATAGGACTGTAGCATTAAAAAAAATTACATAATTCACAAAATATTTCTGATGAATTTCTTAATGAGGTAAATTAGTTTAAAAGTCATATGAAGCTTCATGATAAAGCAGATATAATTAAAATTCATGGATCAACACAAGATCTAATTACAAAAGAATATATTTTTATAATGGGAAAATTATTTAATATCAGAGAAATCATTAAAAGTTAAAAGATATTCATAAAAAGAAATTATTCATTATGATCTTATACTCTTCAATATAAAGAAATACATTCACATATTACAGACTTGGGATTATCATGCCTAGCTAGTCAAACATCTGCATCAAACAAAATGATATATTTGGAGTACTACCATATGTTGCATCAGAAGTTTTAAGTGAGAAACCATATACAACAGCATCAGATATATATAGTTTTGGAGCCTTGATGTCTGTAATGTCAACTGACTAACAACCATTTAATAATTTGGCACATGATGTAGACCTTGCAATGTGAAGGTGTAAGACCAAGGTTCTCAAACAACACACCAAAATTATATATTGAACTAGCATTCAGATGCATGAATGCTAATCCAGATAAATCTCCAACTGCTGAAGAAATTGGTAATATTACTTATTTTTGGTTTATATAGTTCATTTAAAGAATTTGATAAAATAGTCAAAATAAAATTTGATTCATCCAAATGCTGTTTATACTAGCAGATTATTAAAATTTACAAACTTCCTCAACCTGTAAATTCCAATAAAGTAATGATTATTGGTAATAATAATGGTAGGTATTATTATTAACATTTAATCATTGATTATTACTAATTTTTTAAAATTTATAAAATTTATTAATATTCTACTCTTGCAACAAATATTTTTTTAGATTCTCAACAGATTGAATTAACTATACCAGATGAATTACCCAAATAGTCAAATCTTGTCATTTTGTTACATTTTTATTTATTTGGCTACTATAATTGTGATATTAAGTTTTTAAATGTTTATTGATTGTCAAATAAATGTATCCTTCACTAATCAATTCCTAAATATAAAAATATTAGTATATTAATAAATGACCAACAGAATATTAACCATCTATATTAATAAAGAAGCTTACTCAATATAGTCACAGCTATGATTTATATTATCATTATCACCAATATAATCAATGATGTAATTGTATATGTTTGGTAGCTTCCAATACATATATTTTTTTTACTTCAGCTTCTAGGTACCTTTCCACTAATTTGTTATAGATTTTTGTGATGAAGATGATGTCTTTGTGCAGCTCAAAATAATCATGATCTTTTTTATCATTCATTATTTGTATAAATATAAAACTTTCTTTGATTCTCATTATTTCCATCATTTTGATAAGTACTTATTAATTGACAATTTTTTTTGTATGGATGTGGTTGTGAAAATGTAACAGAATCAAAATGTTTTTCGACTTCAATTATCTTCCATCCATGCAAATTAATTTGTGCTAATATATAAAAATTGTTATAAAATTTCTCATTTTCACTAATAGTGTAATTGTATTTGATTATGAATTCTTTCCGGGTGCAGCAAAGAACACCTGAAGAATTTTTTTTAAAAAAGTTTATTTATAAGGAACTAGAATAGCTCTAAGCTCATATATATATATAATGAAGATGAGTTGCAACGATCACAATGACCAACACCATTCTTTTAATAATAATTAGAGTGACGCCGAATGGCGATAACCACTATTCTTATGATAAACCCACTTACCTAGGTCTTGTTGCTTCCGCAGCGTTATTTTCTTTTCTTCTTTTATTATTATTTTCTAGATGACTTTTTTTTTAAAAAAAGAACTAGAATGACGACGAGTGGCGATAACCACTGTATCCTTTAGCAGCACCAAAGGTATCTTCTTTTCTTCTTTTTGTATGACTATGCTGTTGCGACATTTTTAGAGGAAAAAGAATTATTGTTTTGATCGACAAACACGTGCACATTGATTATTTATGTTTTTTTTTTGACGTGATTGATTTATTTTTCAATGACAAAACGTGATTCTCCTAAAGATGATGTGTTATTATTATTATTTGTATTGATGATATAATGTGGTGTCCTTTAGTTTATAAATATTTAATTGGAATCAAAATGCGGAGCAGACTTTCTGGGTAATTATAAGGTCCTTCCTTATCAAGATAGTAAAATATATCACGTGTACATGTGAAAAACGTAAAATTATTTTGAGATCGGTATATGTAAAAATTAATTATTTATTCATTTATAACACTTTTGAGATCTGACTATATTGCAATTATAAAAGAAAATATTGATGAGAAGGGAGAATTATTATTGTTTTAATATAAAAAAAATTGTATAGCAGCACTGTACACATACATGAGAACAAAATTTTGAGAAAAATTAATTAAAAAGAAATTAAAATAAAAAAAGAATGTTAACTAAAAAAATTTAAAAAAATTATTACATTATTATTAACATTTACAAAAATTATATATAATATACATTTTTTTTACAATATAGATTCTCTTTTGTTGTTTGCGATCTGATTTTTCAAAAAAGGTCTCGAAAAATTTGAAATTTTTGATTGAAAAAATTTTTAAAAAAGGAACTCAAAAGATCACGATCGATTTTTTTTTGTATTACTGAAATATCCAGCTCCTAATACTTTTACTATTACAGGCAAAAAATAATTGTCTTTAAGATCCAAAGTAAATTTATATATTTTTCTGTCCAAAGTTAATATTCCTTTTTTTTTTTTGCCCATCCAAAAATATAATTTTTATATATAAATTACTTTGATATTATCATTATTATTAATAATTATTAATTAATTGTAGTGTATATATTATTATATATATAGAGAGATCCCACCAAATTAATTAATCCCCAAAATATTATTATTAATTATTAGTCTAAAATGAATTTTTTTTAAAAAAAATAAAAGGGTGTTTGGTTTTTATTGATAGATGATTGTTGGCTGATAATGAATATAAATGTTGTGTATATTATTAATTATTGAAAGTTGTATATGATGAGAGTGTAAATATTATATATATATATGTGCGTGGTTGTTTGATGATATTATGGTTGTTGTTTTAATATTATAATGTTTTAAAATATAAATATATATAAACAAAATTTTTTTTTTCTACGATTCAAATCAAATATAGAATCGAGAAAATTATTTTTGTAGTTTACATATATAATTCAATTAAAAAAAAATAAATTAAAATTATATATATATATATATAAATAAAGGGAAGAAATTAAAAAGAATGCAAGAAATAAAAAAAAAAGGTTTTTCATACAAAAAAATGTACAAAGGAAATTTTTGGGGGGGAAAAAAAATTAAAAAAATCTAAAAACAAAAATTTAAGGAAAAAAAGAAAGTTTTTAAAAAAAAAGAGAAGATAAACATATTTACAAGCAAAATCTTTTCCCTAAATATATTTTCCAGATTTTTTTTTTAATCTATTCTAAAAATCTACATTAAAAATCAAATTCCAACATTTGATTTTTTTTTCATATCGTAAAAGTCCATGGAAAATATCGGAAAATAATGAATAAATTAACATATATAGGAGGAGGGGAAAGGAATTAAAGATTATAAAAAAAAAAACAATAAAATGTTGGATAATTCTCTTTCGCGTATAAATTTTAGAAATTGAATTAATGTCTTTTTTAGTTGTGTTGGAAAAAAAAAGGGGAAAATATAAGGAAAATATTTGAGAAAAATATGTCTATGCAATGAGATGTAAATTGAAAAAAAGGCGTAAATTAAGAAAAATAAAGAGAAAAGAAAAAATGGATTATATATGGGGAATAAGTAAAATGGTGAGTTGTATATTAGAGTGTGACAAGAAAGAAAAATGAAGAAATAAACAAAGGAAAAAAAGCTTGCAACAAAAATATACAGGTGCAAAAAAAAAAAGAAAAAGAAAAAATGCAAATAAAAAAAATTATATAATGTTAAAAAAGAAGTGAAGTGTCAAAAAGTCTAAAAAATGCTAAATAATTAATTATTTTAATCGTAACCGTCAAAACTTTTATTTGAATTAATAAAGAACTACAATTTAATTAGGCAATTTCCAATTGATATTATATCCATAAATTACTTGACATGATTCAAAATTATTATATATTAATAAAGTTATTATTGACCGCCGATTTTTAAAATACTTTTCAGAGCTTTTGAGATATCATCTAAAGATAATTCATCAACGACGGAATAAATTTTAGAAGGATGATGAGAAGTTGCCATGCGTTCAGGAATCATGTAAGCAGCAGCAGAAGAGGCTTGATATTGATATTGTTGTTGTTGTTGTTGTCTTTTGCTAGATAACAATGATTCTTTTTCCAAAAGATTAAGAAATGCATTTGATTGATATTTACGATTCGAATGAATATCATCCATAACGAACATATCATCGTCGGAACTATTTCCTGAAGAAAATCCAGAATCGATTAAAATTTGAGGTGAATGCTTAGTGACAACATTATTGATGTCGTCGTTGGTGATGATGGTGGATGAAGAATTGTTATTGTAAGTAGATGTAGATAGTGGAGAGTCTTTAGTCAAAGATTTACTATCGAGGAAAGAAGGAATAGGCAATTCACTAGGATCAGGTGAATTATTGAAAGTGGGACCAGCATAAAGTTTTTTAGAGTCGAGTTTGGATGGTGGTGATCCTGAGAAAGAAGGTCTGCGAGAATAGGGCTTTGATGATTTAGAACGTGATTCATCGTTGTCGGAAAAATGGGTGACAGTTAGCTTATTCGATTCTTGGATAGATGATGATTGGTAATCGGAATGTGGTCTTCGCAATTCTTGTGCGTTGTTAGGTTTGTCGTATGAACTATATAGAGAGAAAAGGATTATTAATAAGTATTGCGCTAGGACATAAGCTATTAAAATATTAACACATGTTTATTATAACAACAATAATTACCTTTTACTTCTAGTGTGCTTATTGGCATTTCTTAAAACATTATCATTGTTAGCTGCTTCTTCAAGAACAGAATTAAGAGGAAAAATGCCAGTTTGAAGACGGTTAAGGTGATGAATGTTGTTATTGTTATTAGCGGAAATTACAGGTGACACTGACTTCAAGTGAGTATTTGATATACTATTTACATCGGATTCATCGCTAGAATCTGTTTTAAGGCTTGAAAATGATTCTTGTTGACGATTATGATGACGCTTACTACTCTTGTTATTTTTGATATTATTATGAGAATGACTGACGTCCGATCTACTACGATTTTCTTTTGAAGCGGAAGAATGATGGCGATGACTAGTTTTTATTTTTGAGGGTGTCAACAATGAGGAAGTAGTAGTTGGTTTTTCGGAATCTGAAACGGATTGTTGGCGTCTAAGAATTGTATAAGCAGGAGGAGAAGGCATTCTGCTAAGAATATTGTCATCAACAGAATCACTATATTGATGTTTTCTAGATGATGATGAACGGTTAGAACTATTTTTTCTATTATTGCTATTGTTATTATTATTAATGTGACTATTGTTATTATTGATATTATGTACAATCTTATTAGAAAAGGTGTAGTTTTTTGAAGTCATATTGTATTTATTGTCCTTTTACTATATAGCGAAAAAAATTTTTTATATAGGAAGGGGGATAATGAAAAAAATTTTTGGCAAAATTTATACAAATATTTATTCGTAAAAATAATGTAGTACGTACGTGGTTGTAGAATGGATATTTGTCGAACGTCCCAAAAAAGGAAATTAATGTAAAAATGCCAAAAATGAAATTTTTTAAAAAGGAGTAGGTAGGTGTGCAAAAACCGGAAAGATGAAATGTATAGGGAAGTGGTGTAAAAACAAGATAATTAAAAAAAAAAAAAAGAAAAATATTAAATAGTTAGCAATATTCTTTAAATATTATATTATTATAAAAAAGATTTAGAAAAAATATTAATAATAATAAAAGTAATAGGTGAAATAGCTAAACCGTACATATTATATAGATAAGTCAATAATAATATATATATTGAAGGTGAAAATTTAATTATTATTATTATGTTTAATAACACTTTTAGTGGGTCAACCAGCCTTTTCAGTATATTATTAATGCTTTTCTAGTGTTCTAGCGATGAATAATTTATTAGAATAATGTTGTTATTATATAATAAATGTTATATGAAGAATGAAATGATGAGATTGCAATGTTGTTTTTAAAATAAAGCTTTAATGCAAAAAAATTTATAAAGAAAAAAGGTTCCGAGTGAATATTTTATTTTATTTTCTAGAGAGTTTGTTGAATGGGAAAAAAATGCAATTTATATATATTTATATATTTTTTTTTTATAAGAACTAATTAAGTAAAAATATTTGGAAAGCTTGGAAAAAAATTTTTAATAATTTAAAATTTTTTTAATAAAAATAAAATAGAAGCTATTTTATAGAGGAAAAAGTTAAAACAAAAAAAATATAAAATAAAAAAAGTAGGGTGGAAAAGTTTGGTATTTATCGAAAGGTTTTTTTGATGAATGAAAAAAGATTTTTAATATAAAAAAGAAGTTGATTGATTGTACAAGAAATATAATAATAATAATGTAAATATTTATTATAGTAAAATATAAGAATAATAGAAAATTATAATTCAAATATTTTCAAATATTGTTACAAAATAAAAACGCCAAAAATAAATTTGACTATATTTTATTTTATTTATAATTAATATTTATTTATAATTTTAAATCCGAACCAACATCACGATACGGACGAGTACATAAGAAAATGATGTTCGTATCAATATTGTATTGTTACACGTATTTGGGTAAAAAAAAAAGAATTGAATATTTTTAAAAAAACAACAATAATTAGTCATCATCGTCATAATTTAAATATATCAGTAAAATAAAAAAACAGAAGTTATGTATGTATTTAATAATTGAATTGATTTAGTCTTGTAACACTTTATATAATACCAATCAGTTATTGACAGCGTGATTCCAAGGATTTTGGATCAACATTTTTTGAATTGGGCCTTAACGTATGGATCCATTAATTAATCAACTCGCGATATTTGAATAGTTTTAACAGTGAAAAATTTATCGCTTTCTATTGTAACGCGATTAACGAAAGTAAATGATAATATTAAATAATACAATATTCGTTTTATTTATTATTATTATAATTGATTAATTTGATTATTGATTATTTAAGGTTTAAACATTACAGTTAATAATCAACAGTTTAAATTTTAAATTCCCTTCTTTAGAAAATTATATTAGCTATTTTTATCATGTGATTAAAAATACAGATATTTAATTAAAAATTTTCCACTTTAACCCTATATTTCTTTGTTTGAATGGAATATCATTAAAAAATATTAGGAATATATATTCATACTGGCAATAATATAAAAATATATATTGGCATACATACAACATTATTATAATTGAATAATATAAAAAACAAATTTGATTGATTCGCTCACTCGTTCAATCTTCCTTTTGTGTTCCAATTGGTTTTTTTTTATAAAAATTACAAAAAAAAAAGTGGGGAAAATATATCAACAATATATTATATTCTCACATTCATACATTATTACTTAAATTATGATTATTTATGATCTTTAAACAAAATCGAACAGATAATGAGTATAAATAAAAAGAAAATTCAAATTTCTTTCCTAATTTCCATATTATCTCTACCATTTTTTTTGTTTATTTGTTAAACAACAATCCAAATAAAACAAATTAAAATTTCTCCACACATTTATTAAAATTAATAATTGTTTTTTAATGCTGATCGTAACAGGAGGAACACGAAAATCAAGAAATTTTCACTGGATTGTGTGAATTTTGGCAAAAAACCAGCATACTAAGTGTCAATTAATTAAATTTAATTAAAAAATTCGGAGATTCAATTTCTCAACTTGTTTTACTTTGGTTTTGATTTTTTTCTAAAAATAAAATGTTTTCTTAATGGAAAAACCAATTGGAATTTATTATGATTTATTATTATAGAATGGACCGACGATAGTGTAAATATTATGTGTTGTGTATTGTGTAGTTAATGTATTGTTGAACAACAATTAATAAATAAAAAACACAATACACAAGAAATCCAGTCACCAAGTTTCTTTATTTGACTGCTAATTATTAACAAGAAAATTTAAAAAACTTCTCATCTAATTAATATTTTTTTCTAAATTTAGTAATAACTTAATTTATCCAGTTAAATTTATCGAATTTATTATTATCTGTTTGTTAAACAAAAAAAAACAAAAAGCAAAAAGATAAATCTTTCTCTCCAACATAACTTTTACTCTGTTCCCTTCCTTTTCCTTATCGTCATTAAATTTATTTGAAAATAAAAACTTGTTTGAAATCATGTAATTCTATCCAAATTTAGTTAGGATCAGATTCATATTATGTATGTCGGTTGTGTATGTATGCGTATGTATGTATCTTATATTAATAATAATTATTATTACAATTATATGCTACTTTTTGATGGATGAATTTAGAAAATATGAAAATACGTCCTATATTGTATCAATCAATCAATCAATAATTCAATAGGATAGATATGGTGATATATAGATAGATAATAAAATAATAAGAGTAATTCTGGAAATTATCATCAATCATACTGATCGATGCCTTTTAAAAATTAAAGTCTATCATTCACTCGTGGTATTAAATTAAAAATCAACTGCTACTCGTACTGTGGTTACACGGTCGTGCGGGTGACATATAAACTTTAATTTTCTCTCAAAAGCACCCCAAAAGAATAGAACAAATCCCAATACTAACCATAAATATTTTTTATATAAAACTTGTTAATTAATTAATAATAATAAGAAATAAACAATCACGCACAACAACATTCTTTCTTTATAGATGACGATAATTATGTCATAACCGGCAATATTCATATTTTCTAACTTTATTTGTTATAATAAAAGATAGATTTTGATTGATTGATTGATGTGTGTTTGTGGTTTTCTTTATTTTTTTGATGAATGGATGGATTGATGAATGGATGAATGAATGATGAATGGATGAATAAATGATGAATGGAAAATAGGTATATAGATTCAATTGGTTGATAAACATAATAATATACAAGATATGCAAATGAATGGATGAATGAATGAGTTGTGTGAGGGAGAAAGATAAAGAATGAAATAACATTTCATTTTTTTTGATGGGATTTATCAATATTATCTAAAAGTTACATTTTAAAATGCGACTGATCATTACCAAAAATATATTAAATTTCAAAAAAGTGACTACCCCCAAAAAGAGATATAAAAATATTTTTTTTACCACTTTTTGTATTAATATTAATTTATTATTAATTGATTGCGATTCTGTCACCATCACGCTTCAAGAACTTCAAATTTCTATCTTCTTCAAGACCTGTAAGAAAACTTATGATGAACCAATTTATAGCTCATTTTCTGATGGTAAGAATATATAAATACATTTCTGCTGGGACTATTTGTAGTAGTAATCAATGAATTTCAGCAACATAATTCAAGTGAAAAAACTTTTTTATGACAGTAGCATTGACGAAATCCATTTTTTTTTACATCGTCATGAACTCTTATTAATATAAGACCAATTGTTCGTCAAATGTTTTTCAAGACAAAAACCAAACAATTCCAAACAATATTGAGATGGATTTCTTCAGAAAAAATCATGTTTTATGATTTTAATAGTAGAGAGAAGGTTTTCTCTTATTTAAATGGATTCTCCTTTTAAGGCATATATGTCCTAGTACTTGTTGATTGACATTCGGAGAATTGTACAACGTTGCACGAACCGCATGCACCAAATATTCTTCAAGTATAAGCATTTCCCATTTATTATGATACTGTCAAAATATTATCCACCGATTGTTCTCTTCAATATACCAAAAGACAATAATTAAAAAATGGAAAGCAAGAAAAAAAAGTTAAGAACGTTTAGTCAATACGGTGGATTGAAAATTGATCAACAAAAAATGCATTTTTGTTATAGTGACACTTGGTATTAAAATAAAAATCACAAATCTTTATCGAGTAACAAATGAAGGAATCTTGGATACAATGTATGCACTCAATTTCTTTATATTCCTTATTTCTTATAAATGAACAAACCATTATGATTTCGGCAAACTTAATTGATGATGATACGCATGAAAAATATTATTTGTTAACTACCATTTTGAGCCTGACACAAATAATATGGCAAAAATAACTGATCCATTTGGGCCAGTTCACGATCATGTGAATGAGTGATGGAAATTTTAGAAGAGAAAAAGTAAAGAAAACTAGAAGACAGTGTTAAAGAAATACATCAGAAACTAATGGTAAAAAAGAGCTAATAGGGGGAAAGGAAATCATTGCGTAAATAAAAAGTCTCAAAGAAATTTAATCAAAGATCATCTTTGATGTTTACCCAAAGAATATGATATTTGAATTTTTTTACCAAAATAAATCCTAGATTAACTCGTAAATATTCTACATTGATGTAATGATCTTGTCTAGAAACAAACGTGCAGCTAGAACTTGTTACAAACCAATATTTTAACTATTGCCATTATCCATTTCATGATTCTTTTATTCATTCTTTTGTTGTAGAAATGTGGTAAACTAAATTTGGCTTCGCATATCTCCAAAAATCTATCCGATTTAATTTATAATTTCTGAAAGTCCTGGCATATAAAAAATTACATTTACTAATTTAATTCATTGTAACTTACCATAATATGATTTCATAAAAAATCATAAATTAGAATGTTCTTTTTCATCTATTTGGGCCCCTTTTAATACGTTATTCGTTTTATTTAGAAACAAGTCCAGTTTAATATTTTGCTTGTACTTTAGATCTTCCTGATAAATCCAAATATATATATCGTAGAGTCTCAAAGATAGCACCCCTTTTTTACAACTGTTTAAACTGTGTAACAATGATTTAAAGTAGTGGTGCTATCTTTCGAGATTTTACGGTAACATTATTATTTTATTCTCCTTAATAAACAGTGCATAAAATTCAATGTGCGAAATGTGCGGGTGTAACATCATTAATTTTTTGTAAATGATTTCTAAATTTGTAGAAACCTGCATTAGTTATACACGACTCCTTAAACAAATATATAAGGATTAGAGATAAAGGCTTAATCTATATATATCAAACCATGCGTAACATATTTTACAGGGTTACTCTAAAATTTTATTATAACTTGGAGAACCTCCCATATATTTTAAATAAAAGAAATCACATAATCCATTCAATGCTAATGACATCTTTGCTCTTGTACGTGCTGTCGCTATATTCAGAGCCTCATGAACAACGTGACCTCATCCAACTATATACCTTGGTTACCCGTAATTTATTTGCACAAATTCTTATTGTTCCTTAATAATTGAAAAAAAGGTTTGGAAAATTTTGATGACATGTGAAGAGAGATTTAATTTGGGGTGTTGTTACACGTAACATCTAAAGATTAAAATTTTAAAGAAAAATGCCTACTGTTAATGTTGATAAAGAAGAATTCTATAAATGTCTTGGAAAACAATATTGTATGTGGAAACACAAATGAGGAATTGATTAGTTTGTTCTCGAAAACAAGCTCTATAAAATTCTTTTGATAAAACAATGTTTTCAAAAATGTTAATTAATATCTATCAATATTAGCAACTGAAGAATTTCGTGAACTATGTTTTGAATTTGGAATTGAACTTGAAGAAGATGTACTTGTACTCTTGATATTGTGTTAATTCAAATTTTTTTTTTAATAATTCATCTATTACAACTTGATTATTTATAACCAGACTTCAGAAAAGGAAATGGCCCAAAAAGAAGTTGGTGCGGAGAAAGCTGAAGGATTATCTGAACGGTCTATCTTGAAAATAGATATTCCTGCTAATAGGTAAAGAAATTTGAATTGATCATTATTAATCTAGATTGTTATGAAATTATTTAAAAAATTAAATCTGATCAAACCAATTAGATATGATCTTCTTTGTCATGAAGGTATTTCAAAAGGAATATTAATTTTTCAAGGAAAGTCAAAAATGACAACATATAAACTGATTGAACCAGAAAATGGTAAATCACAAATCATAATAAAGCAAGAGGTATTATTGTCTCTAAATTTTTTTTTTTTTTTACAATACGTTTCATTGTAATGATGAATAAAATTTTTAAAATTTTTTATTACTACAGACAGCTCAAATTAGACCTCATGTTGTTGGTGCTATACTTCGAAATATAACATTCACAGAAAAAAATTATAATAATTTCATTGATTTACAAGATAAATTACATAACAATCTTTGCAAGTATGTATGTGTATAAATATTTTGTATGTATTTATTTATTGTTTGTAAATTTCAATAATTCATATATATATATATATATATATAGAAAAAGAACCTTGGTTGCAATCGGTACACATGATCTTGATACATTAAAAGCACCTTTTACTTATGAAGCTCTTAAACCGAATGAAATTAAATTTACCCCACTGAATCAAACAAAAGAAATGACTGGTGAAGAGTTAATGCAATTTTATGAAGTAATATTTACATATATATAAATCATTGTTTTTAACTAAATAATCTAATATATATATATTTTGATGGGATTAAAATAGAATGACAAGCATCTTGGAAAATTTCTTCATATTCCTTCCATTGGTCAGGCAAGTAAAGCCTCTTCCTATTTTTTTATTGTTATTACTATTTGCTAACATTGTGTTATTAGTTACGTTACTTGAAAGAAAGTTTTTGGTATTTTTACGAACTATCAAGGTATTGAAGATAGTGTGTAATTTAATGTTTTGCATTCTAAATTTTTTTTTTTTTTTGAAAAAATAAATTTTTTTATCTGAAAATTTTTTTTTAATCATTGACGTTTCACAGTGTCTCTTTGCCTGCGTTTTAACCCTCCTCTGTATAATAATAGGATAGATAATTGGAATAATTAATCCAAAGGTATAAACTCACACTGAGCTTATTTTTTTCTTTTACTTGCCCTTTATTTGGTTGTTTTTTAATTCAATTAACATAATTTGTTTCACTTTGATCCGCATCTTGACTTTCTCTTGAGCTAATTCTTGGATAATTCTCCTGTTTAATTAGTACTTTAACTTTATTTTGAAGTTCCTGGATTTTGTTTCACTTTGGGGGATTATCGATTGTTTTTACTTCTTTACCTATTTTTGGTAATTCAGTTTCACTTTCTCTTAATAAAAGCAGCTAAATCAATATTTAAATGAAAAGACATTCTTTTTCCTCTTGCTCTAATTCGTTGATAATATTTAAGAAAGTTCCAATAAATATAAACTTTTTTATTTTATTAACAATATAAACAGTATACATATATTTGTAAAAAGGATAAACGATATTAATCTTGAATGAAAAGCCTAAGACGAGGAATGATTAAACGCTCATATTTTTTTATTATTAATAAACATTTTTAATTTTACTGGAATTATTACTTGTATGATTCTGAAAAAGATATCTTATTTATTAGTAATCAAGTGATATTTTTTTTTCGTGTCCGAGGTTCTTTGCATCTGCATGTTATTCACAACACGAAAAATTTAAATTTATTTTTTGGAGATGATTTTTAAGAAACTCTACAACTTGCAATTGGATAGATTAGAAAGAAACTTACAGAGAAGTTTATTTCTGAATTTTTCTCGTTTTTCATTTCTACATGGTACTATATAGTATTATTATCTTTTGCCATTTTCTTTATCCTTTCTTTTAAGGGATAATTAACATACTTGGACAATTTAACTTATTAATTATTAATATATTATAAAAACAAAAAGTTAATGTGTAACTTTTACTTACTTCTTATTTAAATTCTTTTCTATCTTGAGGAATCATTACCTCGTAACTCTGAGAATAGAATGATCTAAATTAACTAGTTTGATATCCCAGATCTGCATAACAAATTTCTATCGTTGATTGGTGGACCATCAATTAAGAAGTTTGATATTGAGATTGGTTTTTTTTTTTTGGTAAACAATTTTAACACAGA